GTTATGAAAATCTACTTAGAAATATCAATTTTTAGACTCTTAAAGAGACCTTTATTGCTTGTTTTACCTGATCTTTATAAGTAACAAATTATTCATCATAACAAACATTCAATTTATTTGAAGTTTATGACAACAGTTACAAATATAAAGATAGAAAAAAATGTTTAAAAATCAACGATAGTTAAATTGATGAAATTTACTTCAGCAAGATGCATTTATCTGCAAATAATAAACCACAGTATTGTATTTGAAGCTGAGAGGGTCAATAAGAAAGGTCTCTCTCTGTCTGGCGTCAGTCCGTATGTCTGTCATAACAAAACTGTCCATGGTTTGTGGTTGAAGTGGTATTTCTAGTTCTTTCCATGAAAAGGCTTTTTGAAAGCGAGCCTGCAAATTTGAAATTTTGCCGTTTTAATTGTTCTGTAGAGATTCCGATTTTCTTTATTTAGTAGAATATTTGTTACTTGGTTGTAAGGAAACATGCCAAAGTAATTGTTTTAAAGAAACAGAACATAAACGTCAAATATTTGCACGTCCGCAACATTTTTGTGTCAGTTTTACAAATTCTAAAAGTAAGTTACAGTTACAGGTAAAACAAACATACTTAATAATATAATGCTATATATTATGAATTAGTTTTATACAATTTATCAACGGAAAAATTATTTTGTATCCATTATCATATGGTCGATTTTCGAAAACACTTTAACGTACATTGTCTCTGTGTTATTCAACACACACATAATACATATACCGGAAAAACATGCTTATATTCTAAGCAGGATTTAAACCGTTAAGCATTCTTTTCCGCAGTAAATTCGCATTTTAGGCAATATATTTCCATTTTCCTTTTTACTAGCATTTTGGAAGTATTCAGGTTTTTTTAGAAATAATCAAACAATATTTTCGCCGCAGATATGTAGCTTTGTCAACGTGAATGTCTGCCTTTACATTACTTAAAACACATATCCTAGCAATGAAAATATAATCAGAATCACTATTGGTTTAAATAATTTTATTTAGCATATTTGTACATGTGTAAGTAACAACATAAAAATATAGATTTTAGACGAAAGCAAAGCTTATAGAAACCATTATCTAACAATAACAATATATAATGTCAGTGGTGATTGTAATTAACAAGTTACTAGAAGTGTACACATTTGGTGATTGTGGGTAACCAATATGGCTGACGTGTTTTTGTGATTGTTTCATATCAATGGTAAAACATTTGTTTATTTGAACTTATTAAAATATTGGAGGCGAGTTCAGAAGTCTAAAGAACCCCAAACAATGAACAGTGCATCACATACGGGTAGATATTTGTTTTCATCTGATGGATTTCGGCCAGTACAAGCGACCAAACGTGCTAGACATTCAACAGGTTCAGTGGGTGGGGGTGACCTTGAACATCCTATGGCAACCGAGTTGGAAGCTTTGAAACTTTTGCCAGTTGACGAAAAGTTGAATGTTCTTCTAGAGGGTATGTTAAATCTACAAAAACTTGAAAACAAAATCGAAAATACAGAAAAGTATGTTTACTATAATAGTGCTGCACATATGGTTAGTGACCAACGACTCAAACTGTTAGAATACAAACAATTAGATATAGAGGCCCGTCAGAGAGAGGTTAATTTGATTTTCTCCGGTATTACTGAAAACATGGGAGAATGGGCGAATGCTAGAGTCCTTGATGTTCTTGAAGACAAGCTCAAACTTGAGAATAGATTCAATATAGTGCGTGCATATCGAATGGGACAGTATAAGAGGCCAAGATCTTGACAGGAAACACCGAGACCTCGTAGTATAATGGTAACATTCAGTGATGTAACTCAAGTTCATTATATACTAAGCCAAGCAAAGCAATTAAAAGGATCTACAATAAGCATCTCACGTGACTACCCCAGTGAAATTGCCAATGCAAGGAAGTCTCTCTGGACCGAATTTAAAGACTTGCGTTCCAAACATGGTGCCGACAATGTAAAAACTTATATTCCAGCAGCTATACTAGTTAAGGGCACTGTTTACAAAGACTTATTCCCAGATTGGCACTCCGGTACTCTCATAATCCCGAGTCACTAATGTTAATGACAGAATCATCAAATCATTAAATGAACACACCGATTGGAAGACGGATTCCATTAACCATCCACTGTTTGCGAATAAAACTGCCTGCCCTCCAAGATAACCTCGTAGTCACCGGCCAACTGTAGTATCCAGCAACACCAACGGAAACAACGATAATCTCCTGAGGCAATCACATACGCAGTACGATAATTCTGGTAATAACACCACCGAAAGTGATGACACACTTTTAAAACTATTACACACACCCCAACGATAATTCAAGCGGAAACATCCCCAACAACTCACCTCGTGGTCATCTCATCGTAGCAGATCAACATCCCGACGAAAAACGCGTTTCCTATACGTAATCTATCCACCCAGAATCTACAAGCCATAGATCGCATCTATCCAACAAATTCGTGAGCAGTTCAATTCCAGTCGTGATCCTTCAACTACCCGCAGTGAACAAACTGACAGGGCGCGTAGCTGCCTATACGCGAGAAACGCAGCTGAATCCCCACATTATTTTGACAAAAAAAAATTTTTTAGTAAAAAAAATGTGGTTTGAAAATTCCAGCCTGCGTTCGCCAGATCTATTAATACCACACTGAATACTTTATAAATCATAATAGCCTAAATCGTTTACACCATACCGTAGTATTTTTTTGAAAAGTTGTCGGCCTTTTTGGCAGCTCTTCAAAGTCGGAAGTTTGTCACGCGCCGTATTTTCGAAATGTAAACAAATGTTTACATCGAGTTCTTAAAGAAGTCCATCAGCAGAATCAGCCCCCGATAGAAAAAAGAAGGTAATTATAACTAAAATGTTACTATGTATGCCTAGTGTTTATTTGTTTCGGTCCTGTTTGTTGAGAAATGAACATGTTGACCATGTCTGTGAACCGATTCTAGCGAGACTGACAACATTTTTGAACTAACCAAACCTGAATCAGTGAATTTTCTGATGCAAATGTGAAAAATTCTGGTGCATTTGTCGTATTACTCTGCATTTTTGAAATAGTTCCTTCTTGGTAGATTAGTTATATTTGATACATGGAATTTTTATGAAAACAACATTTCTGGTAAACACAACGCTCGTCATTTTTTTCATATACGGAAGCGCATAAAGGTCAAAAAGTATTCGATTTCATACATGTACGGAGCCACAATTTATTCTTCCAGGTTTTCTAATTACGCAAGAAATATGACACAGAAGATGAAATTGACAGCTTCTTCAGCGTAGGGTCCCAAAAACTGGGTGTCTGAAAAAGGCCCGATGCAACCGGAGCCTAGTACATGTATGTTTACTTTAACATGCTTTTAACATAAAAAGCTACAAAACATAGTCAGTACATGTTAAGTTATACATGTATAGTTAATGATGACAACAATTGTAACTTTTAATTTTGTTTAAAACTTTTCAAGATTAAAGGACAGTATGATTTCAAACTTTTTACATTAACATTCATTGCAATCCATGCTTTAAAATATTCGAAATCAAAATTGATTCTATAGTCAATTTTATGCACCAAACAATTCTAAACACTTGTCCAAGTATCGTCATATGTATTCTATATGTATATTTATAGCGCCCGGTACGTCTGGTGTGAAGGAGGGTCCTGAACCTATGACTTTAGATAAAGATGAGCTCTTGGGGATTACGTACAGTCCCGATGACTTGTATCCTGATCCAGCAAGGTTAACAAAGGCTTCAGGTGACTCGATAAAAGTGAAAGTGCTGCAAAACAAACAAAGAATGGGCCAAAACTTTTAAGTTTCCGTCAAGAAAACTGATTCTGATTCATTTGATTTAAAGATGTGAAGTTATAACGGTTGCAGATCAATAGAAAATTGTAGTTTAGTCAAACCAGTATTGTATAGAAAAATACCGTTAAAATCTCTAAACACAGTCCCGAGGTCTCAAAATCGATGGTTTTATGTTGAGGTCTTTTTTTTGAGTGGTACATGTGGGAAAATAGAACGCAAGCCCGTCTTTTACCACTCGATTGTAAACCCATATTAATATACTGCTTCTTCCACTTGTTCGATGTTTTGGTTCCATATATAATTATATTAAGCGCGCTATGACATGTTTTACTATATTAATTAAGACGAATAAAGTATAGTGAATATACTCATATATCTGATAACGTTATTGAGTACCAGTATCATAAGTATACTAGTAAGATACTAGATTATACTATTAAAAATGGAATCATTTGCTTCCCTGCTTTCCGGATTTCTACGTATTTGGTTGCAAAATTGTTCTATTTCAAGTTCGTACACTATTTCTTTATTTTATTATTTCAGTATTGAGTATGGAACGAAGCGTCAGTTCTCTCGTAGATTGGCTAGAGAAGTATGACTGGCTTCGATATTCAGTTTCCGAGAATTCAGTGTATTGTGGTCCCTGTATTTTGTTTGGTGCTTCATCTCCAAAGGAGAAAACATTCATCAATACCCCAGTATCAAAATGGTCTAACGTTGGAAAGTACAATCAAGAGACATACCGAGCCTGGTTCGAGTCATCATAGCTGCTGCGCTAGTGCTAGTAGTTTTATGAAAATCATCGAAGGGAAACAAGCAAGCATTACAGCACAACTGTCGAGAAACAAAGTCGAAACTGTTGCTAAAATAGACAGGTGCTTAGATCTGTTATAGAGGTCATCATTCTGTGCGGTCGACAAAATATTCCACTTAGAGGTCATGATGACAACAATAGTAACTTTACTGTCCTGTTGAAAGACAAGGCCAACAGGGATGAAATCCTGAAAACACACCTGTCCTCTAAATCTAAGGTTACTTACACTTCGCCTATGATCCAAAATGAATTAATCACTTTGTTGGGAAATAACATAAAAGGCAAGATAGTTCAGCAGTGCAACGATGCTATTTGTTATTCATTTCTTGCAGATGAAGCTACTGACGCGAGCACTATGGAACAAATTGCTATGTGTGTAAGATATTATTCTGAAACTGAACAGGACGTGCGTGAAGACTTTGTGGGCTTTGTGCAAGCAGAATCTACAACAGGAGAGGCTCTTTTTAACAAGTTTATTGAGGGGCAGCGGGACGCAGGATTATACATCTCCAAGATGAGGGGACAAGGGTATGATGGGGCCAGTAATATGTCTGTTTGTCATCGAGGTGTGCAAGCTCGGGTCCAGCAAGTAGTTCCCCAAGCAATGTATGTGCACTGCAAAGCCCATAGCCTTAATTTGTCAATTGTGCATGCCTGTAAAGAGGCACTCGTCAGCAACTTGTTGGACAAAGTACAACAAATCGGATTTGCTTTCAAGTACTCTGCCAAACGTCTTTTAGCTTTCAAAGAGGAGCTTGGCAACGATCCCGTGGCACAGGAAGAGATGCAGAAGAGAACACGTTTTCAAAGTCTGTGTGAAACGCGATGGGCTAGTCGGGCTGACGCACTTTACACTTTCAAAGCTGCATACACATCAATTGTAAGTGCACGGAGCTACAGATGCATTATCCTTGGGTTCGACTTCATCATCTTTCTAGTTGTGGTTGAATTCGTCCTCCAGGGTGTTATGCCTCTAAACAAGCTGCTACAGAAGCAGAATATCGACTTGATCGAAGCAGCCAAGGAGAGTCGAGTTCTTATAGCCACATTTCGTGCAGAGAGAGCCGATGATGCTGTGTGGGATGGGCTTTACGACAAAGCAGTTGCAATGGCAGAAGACCAAGGAGTCGAGCCTTCAAAGCCTAGAACAGCTCGACGCCAACAGCACCGTGGCAACGTGCCTGCCGACTCTGTTTCGGAATACTGGAAAAGAGCATTGTTCTATCCATATCTTGATCATCTAGTTGTGGAACTAGAAGACCGTCTTGTATCCAGCAATGAGAGGTTTAAGGCTCAATATCTCATCCCAAGCCTTCTTCCTGAGCTCAGCCGAGATCACGAGGATTCCATCTTCCAGGAGTATGAGATTGACCTCAGTGGGGATCGGGAAGCCTTCCGAAATGAGGTTTCTCGATGGAAAGTAAGATGGGAGCTGGAGGGGACAAAACCCTCAAATCTTACTGACACATTAAAGGCTACGAACAAGACTCTGTATCCAGACATCTTCACCTGTCTAGTTGTACTAATTACGATGCCAGTGTCTACCGCTACCGCCGAGAGGCAGTTTAGTATCATGAGACGCCTGAAAAACAACATGAGATCAACGATGCTCACAGAACGGATGTCTGGACTAGCCCTGTTGCACGCCTACAGACACATGGAAATAGATATTGATATTATCATTAACGAGTTTGCGGCCAGCAAAGGCCGCAAGTTAGACTTGCTGTGAAATGTAGACTAGTTGAAATAAACGAAAGTAAAGCTATTCATCTCCATTTTTATGGTAAAATAAATGGATTTTCGTTGGTCAAGAAAGCTCTCCGGAGGCCCCAAAACGCACCAAATTGCACCATTTATTTCAAAATTTTCAGGGGGGCATGCCCCCTGACCCCCCTACATTATTTTGAATCCACATTCTTTATAGGCTAGCTACGCGCCTGACTGACACAACAAACAAGTGTAACATAGGCAAAACAGGGGCCAGTGAACTCAAATACAATTCACCTTAGTCATAAAACTAAATTAAACGATTTGAAAATTGGTACCTTGAACGTATGAGTCGTCTAATTATTATAAATCTGATGAGTTGTTAATATTTGAAAATGAAATTTTTGAATCATGTAATATGTATGATCATGTACTATTAACTAGATAATTCTTTATCACGTCATTTTGATTTTGATGACGACATGATAATTTTTTTAATCAAGCTGATGCTTTACAAAACCTAGGCATACCTATTCAAAGAGTATCCAAAGATTTAAACATAAATACTACTGGAAGAATGTTAATAGACTTATGTATAAACAGTAATTTATATATTTTAAACGGTCGCTTTGGCCAAGATAGTTTAGAAGGTGCGCCAACTTTTAGAAATATATCAGTAATTGATTATTCTATAACATCTGCTAAGTTACTGCCTTTCCTTATAGATTTCAGCATAACTGAAGTCGACTGTCTGTACTCCGACGGACACTCGCTGCTTACAACTTGTTTAAATTTCGATAAAACGGAGTCAACTTCACAACAAAATGAGTCCCAACAAACTATCTCTCATCCTAGGTGGCAAGACAATAAACGTAATGATTTTTTACAAAACATTGACCAAAACATGGTGTTATGTGTTGAAAATTTATTAAATGAGTTCCCGTCAGAAATATCCGAACAAAAAAATGCTCTCGACAGAATAACAGAAAATATCTCTGTCATATTTCAAAATTCAGCTGAAGTAACCTTTAATGTAAATAAAGACTCGCATGTTTTTACAAAAAATAAAAATAATCAAATTGATAATAAGAAAAATAAACCCTGGTATGGGCCCCGGTGTAGAAAAAAACGTGTTATTTACAATCGCGCAAGAACATTTAAAACAAATCGGTTAATAATAGAAGGTTACTCAACCGTGCGAGCATCGATTACAAACGTACAATGAAATTTTTATGAATCGACACAATTTTATCAATGAATCAAAACTACGAAATATGCATTCTTCGGACCCGAAATCTTACTGGATTTTTTTAATTCTTTGAATAGAAATAATTCAACTAACGTGCCAGATATAAACGTTTTTTATGAGTATTTTCAAAGAGTTAATAAAGTAACGGACAATGAAGAATCTTTTCACGTTGATGATACAAATATGAACTTTGATGATGATATTTTAAATTCTCCATTCACAAATAGCGAAATTTCAAAAGTTATTAATAAATGTAAAAATGGCAAAGCTTTTAGTAGGTCTGACAATATTTCAAATGAATATATAAAATCCACAGAACATATAATGTTGCCAATATATACTAAATTATTTAACAAAATTTTAGAAACAGGCTTAATTCCTACTACTGGTCTGAAGGCTACATAATTCCTATTTACAAAGGCAAAGGTTCTACTTATTCACCTGAAAATTAAAGACAAATAACTATACTTTCCTGTATTTCTAAATTATTTACAAGCGCTTTAAATGAGAGGCTGACAAAATTTGTAGATACTTATAATTTATTGAACGAAAATCAGTGTGGTTTCAGGAAAAACCATAGCACGTTAGATCATGTTTTGACTCTTAATTTTCTTGTAGAGTTATTGAAATCACAAAAGAGTAAATTATTTGTGGGATTTGTCGATTTTTCTCGTGCTTTTGATAATTTGCCGCGTGCTCAATTATTTCAGAAATTAATAAATACAGGAATAAACGGAAATTTTTTAAGAATAGTTCGTAATATGTACGACGACATTAAATCTTGTGTCATTTGAATAATAATGTCTCAGCAATGTTTTCGTGTGAATGTGGGGTACGTCAGGGGGAAAATCTTTCCCCTCTGATGTTTTCCCTCTTCTTAAACGATCTTTTGGAACATTTAGAATCGAAAGGTAACACCGGTTTAACATTAGTATGCGGAAGATGAAATTACTTATAATTTAACTATTCTGGCTCTCTTATTTGCAGACGACACCGTCATACTAGCTAAAACGGCGCATGAATTCCAAAAATGTTTAAATGATTTTGATTTGTACTGTAAAACATGGAAACTCCAGATAAATACACAGAAAACAAAAGTTATGGTCTTTGGGTCAAATAGACGCGGCACCCGAAATATGAATTTTTCTATTAATAATGAAATACTCGAGATTACTGACGAGAATAAATACCTAGGTGTTGTATTTAGCCAATCAGGAAAATACAAAAAAGCCGTTGACCATTTAATATCACAGAGTAGGAAAGCAATGCACCTTCTGTATAAACGTATATTTAACCAAAATTTTCCTATTGATCTACAACTTAAGCTGTTTGAAAATACAATTTTGCCTATATTAACATTTTCGTGTTTAGTTTGGGGAATAGAAAACAATACAGATATAGAGAAAGTCCACTTAGAATTCCTTAGAAAAATTACAAACTCAAGAAAAAGTACCCCGGCTTATATGGTTTATGGTGAAACGGGTAGATATCCAATAGACATAATTATTCAAAGCAGAATCATAAATTTTTGGAATAAAATTATACATAGCGATCAAAATAAATATTCAAGTATTATTTATAACATAATAGTTCATAGTGAACACCCATTTAGATGGTCAGAATTTGTTAAGAATATTTTGAACAATACTGGTCACTCATATTTGTTTTTAAATCAATCTTCCATAAGTTCCAAAAGTATACATGTCTTAATTAAACAAGTACTCGTAGATCAGTTTATCGCTGACTGGAATGCAAAATAACAAGTATCAAACAAAGGTAAACTGTATTATCTTTTCAAACAGCAGCAAAAACATGAAGAATATCTTACAATTTTACCAAGACAGTTTTACTTACCACTTCTGAATTTTCGTACGTCAAATCATAGATTGCCAGTAGAATTACTCCGTTATAACAATACTCCATACAAGAAAAGCATTGATGCAAAGCATCAAAGGGCGTCCAAGCAAGAAATGCAGCAGGTGCAGATGAACTAGTAGATATATGATGACAAGATATTCTTATAAACTGTTCAATGGTTCATTGGTTTTTACCAGAATTGTATATCACTTTTAATATGAATGAACGAACGAAAGACATTGTTCATTATTTATAACTTTGATTGGCATGCTAGAAATTAGAATATTACTTGTTATTTCTTTATGATCGTGGTTATTAATAGCAACGGATATACATGTATTCAATCATTTATAATCCATATGAGTAACGCATGATCAACACCACACTTGTGTATTAATTGTCCCTTATTATGTTATCGCTATTAGCGAAGACCCCCTCTTAAGCTATCTGTTCACACTTATAGTAACAATATGATACTTGTTATATTACCATGTTGAGCATAAATGTTTATTATACACTAATTGTAATATCTTTTTTAATAAAAAAATACAGATTTTATGAATATTGTTTTCTTTTCTCTTTTGTGTTTTATGCACTACTTTGTACTGAGTTTTTACGTTTACTACTATTTTAAGAATTCAATTGTCATAATGACTGACGATTATAAGTCAAAACTTAACTGAAAAAAGTCAGTAAATTATGGTTAAACTTTCAATATATAATATTGTTTATTCTTAAACCATATACATGTACATTTGTATTTTTCTTTATCATTTTTTAAATTATCAATCAATTAAATAATTCATAAAATCTGATTTGTAACTTTGAATAATTCCTCGGCATCTTTACTAAACACGAATGACAAATTAAATAAAATGTTTCAAAGTTGATAGTGTCATATTAATGCCATAAAAATGTACATTTTTTCTCAATTATTGTACATATTTATTGTTTTTATCTCATATAGATAAAATAAAACATGCGATTTGTGTTGTTGGTTTTTTTTTCGAATTGTATGTTTATGTATAATAATAATCAATAAATTTGAGAGTTGATCTATTTTTATTAATTATTGTAACCAAACTAAGTTACAAACATTCATTTTGAAAAAAAGCTTATTCATCTGTAAAATATCAAACATCTACTCCAAAACCGGAAGAGACCGGACAATAAACGTGTGGTACTAGTCGCCGGTCGTCAAAATAGACCAGGAGAGACCGGGAATTACCGACAGGAGTACATCCCTCTATAAATAGATTTTCGGAATATTTAGGTCATCAACTCAACATTCTATTTACAGCTTTCGAAATAACATACCATAATAACCCACTGTGTACTACAAAATGATAAATAAAAATACCCCGAAGAGCGCGATTTATTGACGGAAAAGGTCAATTAATTTGAAAATGTTTGCATTGCCAAATTCTCCAGTTCGCTATTCATTGTACATATCGCGACTAATTAATAATCAAGCACCCTCATACCGATCGGAATGATCGGCTTTTATTATGAACAACTATAAAAGGCTCGAGAAGTTGCTATCGCCCTTTCACAAAATCTGATTTCATTCCATAAAGGCGCCGCGCTTCGGCGCGGACGCCAATAATGAAAAAATTTGTATAGAATGCCAAACACTAAGTGATGAATATCATGCAATTATGTCGTGTAAATTGTTTCGAAATAAAAGGAAACAATTGATTCCACAGTATTATTATAAGAATCCAAATGTCATCAAGTATAATCAACTTCTTAACACTACACATTTTGAAACACTAAAAAAGTTAAGCTTATTCGTTTCACATATCATGAAATACTATAACTGATATTTACGTATCATATAAAATTATCGTTGTTTTGCTCATGTCTACTATCTCAAATTGCTTTACGATACAGTTTCTAGTCAATTGCATACCTTA